GCAAGGTTGCGTGGGGGACGCCTCAGGACCAATGGCCGCGAGCTCCTATCTACGGCGGCTCGCCGCAATTCACCAGCATTCCGCCGCGAGACGCGGTACTGTGCGCGTTGTCTTTCGCGTCAGTTGACTTCGCGAGTTTTATACTCGCTGCTGTTGCTGCTTCTTCTACTTCTTCTTCTTCTTCTTCTACTTCTTCTTCTTCTTCTTCTTCTTCTTCTTCTTCTTCTTCTTCTTCTTCTTCTTCTTCTTCTTCTTCTTCTTCTTCTTCTTCTTCTTCTTCTTCTTCTTCTTCTTCTTCTTCTTCTTCTTCTTCTTCTTCTTCTTCTTCTTCTTCTTCTTCTTCTTCTGTTTCTGTTTCTGCTTCAACTTCTGCTTCTGCCTCTGCTTCTGCCTCTGATTTTGCTATTCGCTCCAAACATACTACAACCGAGTGAATTTTACAGTATTGCCGCTGCTGCTCATGGTGAAAGTGCGAGGACTGTTATTTCCTATTGTGGACAATTTTTTTTGCGTCCAGTGAGCTGTTGTGAATTTCGGTTGTATTGATCTGAAAAAGGCATCTTTTTAGGTCAGGTGATAGATACGTTTTCTATCAATTTTTTTGCAACATTAAGGTAACTTCTGCGATTAGATTGTATTTATTTTATTAACCACTTTACACATTTTTATTCTATCCTAAACAATTAAATTGAAGTGAAAAGATTGGATTATCCAAAGCCTACATTTTTGAGTCATATGGAGTATTATTACTATTTGATCCATCATTTTCAAAGTGTTTAATCAACTGTCAGATACGTTGCATAACTTTTCATTTAAACTTTATCAATGAAAAAATCAAGTAATTTGAGTAATACTTTTTTTTGTAAACAGTGACAGCTCGCGATTGAACGAATTTTTATGCGTAAGACGTGTGCCGTAGTTTGATAAATAATATAAAATTATGCATGGCAAGTTAAAAAAATGACACATCTTATGAAATTGTAAAGATAGTTAATAAAAATGATTTTTTGCTGGATATGATTTGAAAATTTGTGTTTACTGCAGTGTATAAGTGTTTTGTAAAATGGAAAGTGAATAAACAACAATGACCATTAATACATTGCATCTTTTCGATTGTCCTTGATTACCCCTCAGATTTCATTTCCAGAAAATGCGACCTGCTGGTCGTCCAACTAGTTGAACAAACAGAAAATCACAAGCCAAGGCTGCAAAAGTATTAGCAAGTCGAGAGCATGTGCAAATATTATTTGTTGGGCAGCGAGGCCGAAAGTATTATAGCATTTCCCGAGCGCGACTCGGTCGGTAACATGCTAATTTAGACTGCGCTCAGCTTCGCCTCGGGTGTGAGAGACGCCCTACAGTGTCTTGCTAATGTTGCGGCTGGACAGAAATAGTAGATTACGTGGCTAGGCGAGGAAGATATTGGAAATAATAATTGATGCTTTTGGCCGTACATCTGGCTAATTTGGCTTTAAGGAAATTGAATAAAAAGGCTGCGTAAGGAACGCTGAAAGTACTGAAATAATGGAAAATATTAAAAGAGCTTACCAGTCATAAATGAAGGAGGTGGTGCCGCGATGCGGTATCGTGCGGAACGCCGAGGAGCACCGAATAGAAGGTAGAATGGTCGAAAATAACCGAAGCTGGGCGGCTGTTGATCGATGCCTGCGAAGCTACGCAAGAGCTGAGCAGTGCCTGATAAATATTAGGCAAGCCAGGTGTATTTACGGAGGGCATAAAAAGAGTAGATTGGCGTTGGAGGCGCGCACAAACAAGCGGCGTATTCGCAGGAGAGCCAGTCAATAGTCGGCCTTGGGAATGAGCCCAAATCGCTACGAGCAAGCTGAAAAATCAATACTCTGATGGGCACGTAGAGCGCAGTTAAGCGCCGCGGAGGGAAAAGCAGAGGAAGGAGAATCGGTGGAGCGACGGGAAGTAGCGTGTGATTCATCCCGTGAAATCGCATCCGGAAACAGCTTCGTGTCCGTACCTGTCGAATCCTCTCGGCGGCGGAGGGGGGAGACCAGGTGCAGCGGAGCTTCCTTCAACGTGGGCGACCGGCCGCACACTTGCGCGCTATGCGCCGGCCCAGCTGCATTGTACATTGTATCGCGCGCGTCCCGCAGTTTCGCGCAGTTTTCATATCGATCCCGTGGGGCCGAGGTTGGGCACAGACCGCTTTACGTGCGTCCCGATCGTGCCGATGAATTAGCCGGCCTCCAGCGTGCATTGTTAGATCACGTACGCGCCAAAAGACGGCCGAACTGATATTTATGGCCTCGGGCATACGGTTACGGCACCCCGAGTCCAAAACTATCCACTGCACCCAATGTCACTTTCGCTTTCCAGTGTATGACGAGCCTTTTATTTTTCCCGCTCTGCATTGTGCTATCGGCTGCTTGCTCAAATCTACCACGTACTCGCTCTGTAGAGTAAGAGCAAATAAGGAAATACGAAAGGCTATTATTTTTAATGAAGCACGCCATAAAACACTCGGATATCATGCGAACTCGGATCGATTTCATTCTATTTCCTTCCTGAATTTTACCAAAAAATCTCGTCTGGAAAATATCAGCTCGTTGTATAGAAGAACGCGCTTCAAAGCAAAAAAAAGGCGTACATTTCATATACAGTAAAACTCGGAACTGACACAAAGACTTGCGTTGCAGCTCAGCGTATAGAACGTGAGTGACGTCCCATTTTCTCAGCTTGGAATTTGCGCGAGTGCGCGAGTTATGAAAATTCCGAGGGTGAAGAGCCATCCGTCAGAGAGTCGTCGTCGTCGTCGTCGTCGTCGTCGTCGTCGTCTTCGTTTCTCTCTCTCTCTCTCTCTCACTCTCTCTTTGCCGCGCATAGACCTACATCGAATATAAAGACGATACTTGCCGGCAGCTGCATCCACACGTATAGCACAGTAGCAAAAGAAGACGTAGCTGCGGCAAGTCACTTTTGCGCGAGCGTGTGTCGCTTGCGGCTCGACGAGTGACTAACGAGGCGCATATGCATGACATGTAAACTTGCACCACCTGCGTAGGTATATACCAGCCTCGCACTTGCACCACCCGAAAGCCCTTATTTATGCGAGGCGACGAGTACGTGGCAGCCCAAAAAAGATGCACGAGAGCTACTGCTGCAACCGTGTCTACGCTTTTCCCAGGTATATGAGGACTCGGCGTCAGTTAACTCTATCTGCGTTGCGTCACCTCGATGCTGCGTTTTTTTGGTTATTCCACGCTGCTCGATAGATTCGCTTTTTATTTCGACCAAAATATTTGCATTTGTATATCCGCTCATTTTGCGGCAACACTCCAGTCGTACACCAACATCAATCGGAATAGACTTGGAGAGAAAATATTAGATTGCCATTGCGTCATAGATATCGGACGAGCTCTTACTTGAGTAACGTGATCCGCTCGAGGAATACGCCCGGAATATCAGCAGCAAACATTGCAACGTGAAAATGTGTAAGTCCTGTAGTATAACAATGACAACAAAAAGAAAAAGCACCGAGTCGCTGGCCCTCGTCGTAGAAAATAAAGCATGCAATCGAGGGCGTCGCGTCGCTGCATACCTGCTCGGAATATCGCGTCTTGACATTTTTGCACTTGTCTCGCCCGCGTCTCCAACTTGTCTCTCTCGTGATATTTTATTTAAGGTATCGGCGCTCTCTCTCTCTCTCTCTCTCTCTCTCTCTCTCTCTCTCTCTCTCTCTCTCCCTCTCTGCCTTATCTTGTGTGTTCAGGAATTTTGCAAGAGTCGAAAAGAAGAGCAAAAACATTCCGGGGGAAAAGCTTGGCTTGAACGGAAAGCCCAGGGGGATGAATTATTTATGGAGAGGGCGCGCCCATTAAAGTCAACGACAGTCGCTTGCAAGATTCGTGTTTCAAATCACTTTCGGGCTTTTCGCGTTTTCTTTTAATTTCTTTGCGTGGCAAAGTTGTTTTCTCGTAGCGCGAGGTTGCGCAAAGATTTGGCAATGTGGAATGCTGGACAAGCGAAAAGCACGAATGGCCTCGCTAATAAAGTGCGCAGGGCTGAGCTCTCGCCGCGGAGTTTCCTTTGCTAGCTTTTCAAATATGCTTCAAGCTCGAGCCTGGCAAAGAGTGCGAAAGTTGCAAAGTTGCGAACAGTGGTAGGCAATTATTGGACAATAATATCCTGGACACAAAGCGCCTCGAGCGACAAGAGCGCACTGACAAAATTAAACGTACGGCCGAGGGAGAGAGAGCTGACGCGCACAACGCGTTCGTTCGCGCGACAGCGGCTTCCTGCGAAATGCGCGACTCGCGGCCCGGCAGAGTGCACGCCAGGCGGGAATCGTTGCGTATATATTCCTTTGTCTGCGCCGTGGTAAAGGCAGGAACGAGGCGCAGGCGGCGAAAAGAAAGCAAAAAAGATAAAAAGAGAGGCGTCGCTCGTCGCTCGTTGCTCGTTTTTTCGGGCTCCCGGCCGAGAGGCGCGAGCAACGGTTGCTCAATTTCCGCGTCAATCGCAACTTGCACTTTCGACTTGCGACGCTCTGCTCCGATTGCCAAATCGCGCGCGCCGCTCGCTACAGCTCCTCGTCGGATTAAGCGCCAGCCGAGCAAAAGGACGAGCAATCGAACCGAAAGTAGGCGGCTTCGAGAGGCAGCGCCGTGCAGTGGGCATGGGCTTCGCGCGCGCATGCAGGATAATGGAAGCTCGGAGCTATACAAGCGATCGACTGGGCGAGGCGCACGTATCCTCTCGCAATGCCGTGGAAGCCGTGTGCCCGCACGGGCAAAATTAGAAATGTAATGCGCCAAGATTATCGGGCAGAAGAGCGCATTTTATTTGAGATTGGGACAGCGAGATATCAGAGCTCTGTCCTCCTCCTCCTCTTCTGCCGATGCCCGATTGCGCTCTAACTTGTGATATCGCACGGCATCCAGTCTCTGTTGCGGCCAAACATTGCCTGGCCTCGAGCTTGCGCGCGGACGAATTCAAGGAAATTTCACAGAACAAGCAGTGAGTCGTACCTTCGGAAGAGCGGTGGCTCGTCGGTCAGCAGATGGAAGTCATTCTCCGAGCAGACTTCCCGATCTCGATGGTGGACGGCACATTTGAAGCTTCTCGTTCGCTTGCCGCTCATCTGCAAGACAAAAAACACAGGCGGTTCGATAAATATCCTGGAGTTGCTGGCTGGGCGCGGCAGACGGCTCATCCGCTAGTCGGGAGCGAGGCTTCGCCGCGCGCAATCGCCGACAGCACGTGCGCGCAAGTGTACGAGAGCAAATCTTGGGCAACGGCAGCGATCGACCAGGCCGGCCGGGGACCGAGAAGTAGCGTGAATGACGCGTCTACCCCGGCGCCCCCGGCGCCCCCGTAGGCCCCATTAATCTCGATCGTTTGTTACGCGCGCAACGCCGCCACGCCGCCACGCCGCCACGCCGCCACGCCGCCACGCCGCCACGCCGCAACGCCGCCACGCCGCAACGCCGCCACGCTGCAACGCCGCAACGCCACCATCGCAGCAGCCGTGATGTCGCTATTCCGCTTTGTTTGATTCGCGCAGCAGCCCGGATTTGCTGCCGAATACATTACGCTCTCTCCGTCCGACAAAGCCCATGCTGGACCGGCATGCTTAATTGCGGCTATTCTGCCCGCTCGCAACCACTCGCTCTCGCCCTATACGTGTGCGCGGCTCTGTCGACGCGGTCATTTTCCATCGGCTTGAGCTCGGCGCATCTAATACGCGGATGCGTAGTCTGCTGCCAAGATTCGATCGAAGCCTCGCTCAATCGTCATTCTTCCGCGGATGCGCTAGGCATTCGAACGATAAGGTTCGCTCCGCTTGCAATTGAGCCAACATCGATGTGACGCTGAAAAGCTGCCATGGAACGTCCCTATATTCGCGTGTGTTCTACGTATTTGTTGCCTGGAACATAAGATTGCCAACGATCGATATCCTCAAGAGATTTTTTGCGGGTAGCCAAGCGACCCTTAAGCTTGACATCCGATGTATAAAGAGAGGTAAGAAGTCGCAGCAAAGGAGAGAGAAAAAAGGCAATGGCAAGGAAGAATTTCGCGGGCGGAAAAAACAGATAGGTTCGAGTATACACGTAGATGTAGACGACACCGCAGCGTGCCGCCGCGTGCCGCCGCGTTCAAGCAAATACAAAGGGGCAGGGAATTTGGGGTGCACAAGTGTGGCTACGACTGATACGCAAATACGACCACGAGTAGAAAAGCAAGTCAGATTATTAGGATTCGTTGGGCCGGGCATCTCTCGAGCTTTTCTTGCCGCCGTCCCGTGTACGCTGCACATATATTATAAGTTGTAGAATATTTGCCCGAATAACGGGATCTCAAGGATTTCCTTGATCCCCTTACGCAGCCATAAAACCATAAAGCCATAACGCTAGAAAGCCAGAAAGCCAGAAAGCCATAAAACCATGAAACCATACGGACAGACAGATTTTTCGCTAACTAGATTGACGCGTCTTTCGTAAAGCTGATACTTATTAAATTCGTACGCAACGAGGTTGCATCTGGAATTAGCTGCAGCAGCCGCGCATAAAGTCCTTATTTTCTTTGTAAGCAGGATTAGCCTCGATTGAACTCGAGCCGAATCGGGTTAGTTGACCCACTTAGACGTCGTTAGGTCGAACTGGCCGGAACTGGCCGCAGCGACGCGAGCGTTGCCAGTCGGCGGAGAGCGAACGGCAAAAATCGAGGGATTGCATTCTGCGTGGGCGGTTTTCGGCTGAATTAGCACTGAATTAGCACTTTCGCCTGTCGGGTTTCGTTGTTTCGCTTTCCCGCTTGCCGAGCGGCAGGGAAAGCAGCTTCGTACGAGCAAAGACAATCGAGGCTAGTGTCCGACGAAGCCGGTTTACGAATCGAGAGCAGAACCAAAGAGGAAAGGAAGAAGGGCTGGCGATAAAGGAAGTTTAGTTGGATCGTTAGGGGGCGCGCGCGAGAAGCAGACGCTCGGTCTTGGCTTTGCCAAGTAAATACACCAGCTGCACTTGCCGTCGGTCGAAACAGCCGGTTGTAAAGGCGCATATAGATAGAAGGGGGCAAAATTGAAACTGCCCCCCTCGCTCTCCCGGCCCATTCGATTCCCTGGCCGTTTTATAGATGACTCCCCGCCGCCCACGCCGTTTCCACTCGGCTTTGCGACGAAAGCTTTAACGTTCCGCGGTGACCGTGGCAATGGACTTTATTCCCATTTGAAAGCACGCGTGCCCGCTGCGGCGACGACACGGAGATTCCTCCTGTCGACGATCGATAATCTTACAGCGAATGAGGATTGGTCAGCGCTACGTAGGTGAAAAGGATGAAACGCTTGGTCCGATAATTGGTCGCGGTTTCCGTACCGCCGCCAGCTCGCTCCCGGGCGTTTAATTAGAAAGTGCAAATTAATATCAGTCGATTCGTGTTAGCCTTTCATCGCGCGGGGCTGTAACGTGCAAGCAGTCCCCGCTCGCGAGATTGATGCGGTTGTGGGTTGCCATTAGCCTGATTGGATTTTCAAGGAATCGCACATGTAGCACGCGTTTGGTCGCGCTGTCCATTCAGAGCTCGCTCTCTCGCCACATTCTAGTTGCAATTTTCATTGCTTTGCGCAGATTTGTAGGCGAGCTAACGGTATTCGCCGATGTCCGCCAACTCGCGAGCCTTCTCCGATGGGCGACCGCCTGCCCAAAATTGGCCAGCACGCGCCTCGGCAACGTCGTAATCCGCGACAGTCCGAACTGTCCCCACACAGAAATATGCGCGAACGCTCGCTTAAGCAGATTTTATGCAGATCGTAGCTCAGACGCGCCGCTGTATATAGCATACGCATTTTCACTTCTTGCCTGCTCGAATATGGCTCAACACTGCCACGGCTCGATCCTCTTTTCCGGCTCTCCTCTTTGCATTTGTTCGAGCGTGAATACGTATTCGAGCTGCAGGTTCGACCAAGTGGAAGCTTTCGTAATGTTTCGGCGAGCTCTACTTCAGCGAGGAAAATTAATGTAACCAGAGGACGAAAATTGAAAACGAAAATTGACGAAAGAGAAAAAGAAAGCGCGCTAGTTTTTAGATGTACGGGTTGCAACTCGACGCCGACGGCATTGTATGCGCCGCGTTGTCAGGAGGCAGAAAAGGACGCGCATCGAGGAGATTCGAAAAGCTCGCGTTCGCGCGTAATAAGCTTTCGGCGGAAAGAGGGAAAGAGGGAAAGAGGGAAAGAGCGCGCACGCGTGCGACATTAGAAGCGAGCAAACTCGCGAAACGCCGAGTGCAAGACGCGCGCGCGAAATCCGTTTAGGCGTCAGTTGGCAAATCGAATAACGGGCCCTTCGGCAAAGTAGCTTACATTGGCTCGCGAAAATCCGGCGCCACCATCACGAACGCGCTCGCGAGACTTTGTTCGCGTCGCGAGTTGGCCTAACGAGACGCATTGTTTGCTTTGCCTGTCTCGTCGGTCGTCGGCAATCGGGGAAATGTATAAGGAGACGCGGCGTGCTCCGGGGCCAAGAGGAAGAAACGCCTCGCAAAGACTGACGCGAGCAACTTTGAAACCTAATCAAGGAAATGGGGAGACTAGTATCTCTCCTCTCTCTCTCTCTCTCTCTCTCTCGAGCTCACTTGATTTATCACTCGCTGGGATAATCAGCGAGACATCGCGATGTCGCTGGAATAACAAGCAGCTGAAGATTACGATGAAGCGTTCGAGCGGCATCGAAAACTTGTCGGTCGGTTCTGCTTTCGAAAAGTCGCGCTACTCCCAGTGCAACTGCAAATTGCGCAACCACGCTCCTGGTCGTTCGAACGGGAATCGGTCGATCCGCACGCACGGTTACTCGTCCTTTTCGTCGCGAGCGAGCAACTGTTAATGATGATCGCTCGTAAGGTGAAATCGTATCGCGAGGGGCGAGGGGCGAGGGGCGAGGGGCAAGGGGAGCAAAGCGAGGGGAATTTCATTAAACATGCACGTAGAAGAAGGCGGAGAGATGCTGAAAACAGATCTTCGTTTACGCATCGCCGGACTAACTAAAAGATTTCTATTCAGGCGCGTCTGGCGAACGCGTGACCGGCGAGCGGGATGAGCTTCCTGCTTTGGAAACTGAATGCCGAAAATTACGAGGCTCTCTCCTCTCGTTCCTTTTCCTCCGATCGGTCGAGTTGGCTTATTTTTCTCGCTGCCTGCGATTACAGCGCCTCGATGTCAATCAGCGCGCGTACCGGCTTTTCGCGAAGTTTTGCACGCGGATCGCAAAGCGCGAGTGATTGGCCTGCCGCGAATCGGCGTTGTTCGAACAGCGGACAAACAAAGCCAGCCGCAGACACAATGCCAACTGATCGGCGCATAGTAGCGCTCGAGTACCAGAGCTGACCAGCGTGGCATTATGTTCGCGCGAGCCCCGTCAAAGTGAAAATTCACTGTGCAATGTGCCTCTGTCCGCGCTACTGCGCTGCTCCATGTAACGCCGTTGCGAAAGGATGTCGATGCGATTCGCCAAATATCCGCGGCGGTTGGCGTAAGCAGCGCCTGGATCGATTTGGCGGACTAAAGCCGCTGCACAATTACTGTACAGATTAATGGTTACACTTATATAACGTGCACGCGTTGAATGGCCAGCCGACACTGAATGGGGGCTTGGCTGTACAGGCCGCGCCGATATTAATGTATGCAGGATAATACGAGTGGTCTATTGAATAGCAGGCGCACGCGTGCCTCCTCCTAGGGCAAGCTATAACGATCGGCCGACAGGGTTGATCTGTCCGTTGGGCAGCGCGACAACTTTCAGGAAGGCGACAGCAGATCGCGCCAATCGTTGCTTCCATCGGCCGACGCGAGCCAAGGCATGGACGTTTACAGCGCTGTGACGCTGTAAATTTCAGAGAGCGTCCCGAGTACGCTCCGCTCTTGCCGTTGCTCCGGCGAATCGAATGAATAGCCGATGGCTAATGGCCGGCATCGATCCCATCGTATAGCGCGCAATCGACAGCGTTCACCGACAAAGGCACGGGCACGAGGCTCGGGGTGCAGCGCTAATTAGGCGCCCGGGATGCGCGCGTGCTCTGCGTTTTCTATGCCTTTCTTGTCGTCTTCTTCTTCCTCTGTTGCTGACGCAAGCGCGCGCGGCGCTCCTTTTG